GAAAGCTTGGCGCTGACTGGCTGAAAGGGCGCATTACGTCTGCCGCGCCCTGAGCGCTGATTGGTGTGACGCATGGAGGGGGCGAGGCTCGTGCTGCGGAAGGGTCCAGAACGCCGCATCGCAGCCCCGCCCAACATCCGGGGCGTTCGTGGGCGGGGCTTCTCCCTGCAGGGCCAATCGGAGCTAGCTGCGGCGCCTGCGTAGGGGGCGGGGCCCGCAGCCTTAAAGGGGTCGTGAGGCGGCGCGCGCGGCTCGGTGCGTGAGGGGGGGCCGGGACCGGAGCGGGGCCCGACCCGGGGGGCGGCGGGGGCTGGGGAGCGCGGCGAGGGGCGGGGGCGGCTCCGGCTGCTGCTCCGGGGGGCCTCAGGCAGAGGGAGCGTCCGTGGGGTCACAGCGCTGCGAGGGCTCCGGGTCCGGGTGTGGGGTGCCTGGGGGCGCTCCGGGGCTCTGTGGTTACTGCGGGGTCTGGGCAGCGAGGCCGGACGGGGCGGCGGGGGCTGCGCCCCTGGAGGGGTCACTGGGGAGTTGGGGTCGGGCTCCTCGGGGCACTCTGTGGTTCCCAGGGGGTGTCGGAGCGCTCTGGGGTGCCCGGGGGCTCGCTGTGTCTGGTGGCGATGTGAGGTAGGCAGGGGTCTGTGTGTGTGTGTGGGGGGGGGTATCAATGGGAGATGGGGGTACCCGGGGAGGGGTCTCGGGGGTGCTGGACCCTGTGGTTCAGGGCAGCCCCGGGGCCACTCAGTGTCTGCTGCAAAGAGACTGCGCCTTTGGGTAGGATCCTTGAGAGAGCTGGTCGGGGGCTGCCGTTGTGGGGTGGGGGGACACTGCTTGTGCCCTCCCCCCCCAAGCACAGTGTGTGTGTGTGTGTCCCCAGATAGTCCCCATGGCACAGTGTGTGTGTGTCCCCAAATAGTCCCCATGGCACAGTGTGTGTGTCCCCAAATAGTCCCCATGGCACAGTGTGTGTGTCCCCAAATAGTCCCCATGGCACAGTGTGTGTGTGCCCCCAAGCAGTCCCCATGGCACAGTGTGTGTGCCCCCAAATAGTCCCCATGGCACAGTGTGTGTGTTCCCAAATAGTCCCCATGGCACAGTGTGTGTGTGTGCCCCCAAGCAGTCCCCATGGCACAGTGTGTGTGTGCCCCCAAGCAGTCCCCATGGCACAGTGTGTGTGTGCCCCCCCATGCAGTCCCCATGGCACAGTGTGTGTGCCCCCAAGCAGTCCCCATGGCACAGTGTGTGTGCCCCCAAATAGTCCCCATGGCACAGTGTGTGTGTTCCCAAATAGTCCCCATGGCACAGTGTGTGTGTGCCCCCAAGCAGTCCCCATGGCACAGTGTGTGTGTGCCCCCAGCAGTCCCCATGGCACAGTGTGTGTGTGCCCCCAAGCAGTCCCCATGGCACAGTGTGTGTGTGCCCCCAAGCAGTCCCCATGGCACAGTGTGTGTGTGCCCCCAAGCAGTCCCCATGGCACAGTGTGTGTGTGCCCCCAGCAGTCCCCATGGCACAGTGTGTGTGTGTGTGCCCCCAGCAGTCCCCATGGCACAGTGTGTGTGTCCCCAAATAGTCCCCATGGCACAGTGTGTGTGCCCCCATGCAGTCCCCATGGCACAGTGTGTGTGTGTCCCCAGCAGTCCCCATGGCACAGTGTGTGTGTTCCCAAATAGTCCCCATGGCACAGTGTGTGTGCCCCCAGCAGTCCCCATGGCACAGTGTGTGTGTGCCCCCAGCAGTCCCCATGGCACAGTGTGTGTGCCCCCATGCAGTCCCCGTGGCACAGTGTGTGTGTGCCCCAGCAGTCCCCATGGCACAGTGTGTGTGCTCCCAGCAGTCCCCATGGCACAGTGTGTGTGCCCCCATGCAGTCCCCATGGCACAGTGTGTGTGTGTTCCCAAATAGTCCCCATGGCACAGTGTGTGTGTGCCCCCAAGCAGTCCCCATGGCACAGTGTGTGTGTGCCCCCAAGCAGTCCCCATGGCACAGTGTGTGTGTGCCCCAGCAGTCCCCATGGCACAGTGTGTGTGTTCCCAAATAGTCCCCATGGCACAGTGTGTGTGTGTGTGCCCCCAGCAGTCCCCATGGCACAGTGTGTGTGTGCCCCCAGCAGTCCCCATGGCACAGTGTGTGTGTGCCCCCAGCAGTCCCCATGGCACAGTGTGTGTGTGTCCCCAGATAGTCCCCATGGCACAGTGTGTGTGCCCCCAGCAGTCCCCATGGCACAGTGTGTGTGTGCCCCCAGCAGTCCCCATGGCACAGTGTGTGTGTGCCCCCAGCAGTCCCCATGGCACAGTGTGTGTGTGCCCCCAAGCAGTCCCCATGGCACAGTGTGTGTGTGCCCCCAGCAGTCCCCATGGCACAGTGTGTGTGTTCCCAAATAGTCCCCATGGCACAGTGTGTGTGTGCCCCCAGCAGTCCCCATGGCACAGTGTGTGTGCCCCCAAATAGTCCCCATGGCACAGTGTGTGTGTTCCCAAATAGTCCCCATGGCACAGTGTGTGTGTGCCCCCAAGCAGTCCCCATGGCACAGTGTGTGTGTGCCCCCAGCAGTCCCCATGGCACAGTGTGTGTGTGTGTGCCCCCAGCAGTCCCCATGGCACAGTGTGTGTGTCCCCAAATAGTCCCCATGGCACAGTGTGTGTGCCCCCATGCAGTCCCCGTGGCACAGTGTGTGTGCCCCCCCAAGCAGTCCCCATGGCACAATGTGTGTGCTCCCAGCAGTCCCCATGGCACAGTGTGTGTGTGCCCCCAGCAGTCCCCATGGCACAATGTGTGTGTGCCCCCAAATAGTCCCCATGGCACAGTGTGTGTGCCCCCAAATAGTCCCCATGGCACAGTGTGTGTGCGCCCAAGCAGTCCCCGTGGCACAGTGTGTGTGTGCCCCCCAAGCAGTCCCCAGGGCACAGTGTGTGTGTGCCCCCCAAGCAGTCCCCAGGGCACAGTGTGTTTCCTGTATCAGGGTAAGTCAGTTCGATGTGAAGTGATTTCTTGCCCACTGTTCAGAAGGTTTGTGGAGCTGAAAGGGTGGGTTAAGGGACTGAAGTGCCCCAATGTGAGGAGAGGTTGAGGTCGGTGTTTTGTGCTGGTTATGGGGTGTGTTATGTTTGAGAGTTCCAATGTGATGATAATGCCCAGGGCTGTGACGGTGGCTGCAGGTTGTGTGAGTGGATCCAAGGGCTGGAGCCAGGCTGAGAGGGCTGGGCTGGTCCAGCCTGCAGAAGAGAAGGCCACTTCCCTAAAGGGGCTCCAGAAAAGCTGGAGAGGGGCTTTGGACAAGGGTCTGTAGGGACAGGCCAAGGGGAATGGCTTTAACCTGCCCGAGGGGAGACTGAGCTGAGCTCCGTGACTGTTACTGGTGTGAAGGATGCAATGGGGGGGCAGGCTGTGCTGCCAAGGCTCCTGCCCTTGCTGCTCCCTGCCTTCCACAGGGCTTAGCTGTAAGTGGATTTGTCCTGCAGCCTCAGCAATGGAGACATCCTCAGGTGGGCATAAGGTGAGATATGGATCCGTGCCCGCTCAGAGGACACCACAGCCCCTCACTTGGGCTGCTCCGTGGCCCTTGTCCTGGGTGGGGGAACGTGCTGGGAGCAGAAGGGTCAGTACGAGCTCAGAAGACGTGTGTGATGTTCAGGACACTGCCTTTGATCGCGGTGTTCCAGAGGGAGCTGGGCTGTGCCTGAGGGCATGAGGGAAGGGCACAGGGTGCACAGCCGTTACAGAGGGCAGGGGAGCAGCAGAGGGTGTTGGGATGAGGATAGAGAGCCCGAGCTGGAGGCAGGCTCTAGCCTTGATAAACCACTTGCCCCAGCTTGCCCAGCCTGTGATCAGCAGCTTTATCATTGTGCAAGGTGTGGGGCTTGCAAGGTCCTGATTTGGGTTGGAGGGAACCTTAAAGCTCCTCCAGTCTCAACCTCCTGCCGCAGGTAGGGACGACTTCCACTGGAGCAGCTTGCTCCAAGCCCCTCTCCACCTTTCCTGCAGCCCCTTTAGGCACTGGAGCTGCTCTCAGGTCTCCCCTTCAGGAGCCTTCTCTTCTCCAGGCTGCCCCAGCCCAGCTCTCTCAGCCTGGCTCCAGAGCAGAGCTGCTCCAGCCCTCGCAGCAGCTCCGTGCCCTCCTGTGGAGCTGCTGGAGCGAGTCCAGGTCTCTGTATCTGGACCTGTGAAGGTGCTGAGCGCTCGGCTGGCTCCGTGCTGGCTGTGGTGAGATGGTGCTGTGGGAGGTTGGGGATGTGCTGAGGAGCTGCAGCACACAGCACATGCTACCCTCACTCTGTCAGCACTGGTCCTGTATAGCAGGTCTGAGCAGAGCCCGGGAATGGCCTGGATAAAGAGGAATGGTCTGGAATGATGGACACTGCTGGAAAGAGCTCACGTGTCTCCAGCCACATCACTCTTGCTGTCTGCAGCATCATGTGTGATGTCCCACTGCTTGTGCATCCCACTGACAGCTCCTCCCTGCTGCCTGCGGGACACTGCTCCAGTCCTGCTTGCGGCCCCTGCTCATGGTTGTGCTCTCCTCCTGCCTCCCGGAAGGGTGCTGTCAGCTGCCTGTCCTTGATCCCTGCCCTGGGGCTCTGTGGCTGTTAAACATGGGTGTGAGAGGCAGCCTCTGCCAGCCTCCTGTGCGCAGCACTGCCCAGGGCTGTTGGGGCTGGGCCGTGCAGGAGGACAGAGAATCCCCATCAAGCTCTGCTCTAGAGCGGGGCTGGGGCAGCCTGGAGAAGAGAAGGCTCCTGAAGGGGAGACCTGAGAGCAGCTCCAGTGCCTGAAGGGGCTGCAGGAAAGCTGGAGAGGGGCTTGGGACAAGGGATGGAGGGCCAGGCCAAGGGGAATGGCTTTAACCTGTCCGAGGGGAGACTGAGCTGAGCTCTTAGGCAGAAGCTCTTCCCTGGGAGGGTGCTGAGGCGCTGGCACAGGGTGCCCAGAGAAGCTGTGGCTGCCCCATCCCTGGCAGTGTTCAAGGCCAGGTTGGACACAGGGGCTTGGAGCAAGCTGCTCTATGGAAGGGGTCCCTGTCCGGGGCAGGGGTTGGAGCTGGAGGAGCTTTAAGGTCCCTTCAGCCCAACCCCTTCTATGATCCCTCTGGTTGGTTCATTTCCAGGCCCATCAAGATGCTGCAGGTGCCGCTGCCCCTGGACCGCGATGGGATCCTCTTCCGGCTCCGCTTCACCACGCTGGCTCTGGCGACTGTGTTCTGCCCCCTCTTTGGGTTCCTGTTCTGTGTCATCTGGTCTCTGCTCTTCCATTTTCGGGAGACGACAGCGACTCACTGCGGGGTAAGTGAGTCCTTACCCGGATGGGGCCGAGTCCTCGCGCTGCGCTGGGACAGCCGGGGCTGGCAGCGCTCCTCTCTCCTCTGCTTTCCCACCACAGGTGCTACAGGGTCTTCAAGAAGCCGCTTTATTTTGGTGTGTTTGTGGTGCTTTGGGTCTGGCAGCTGAGGTTTTGGCTTTATAAAGGGGCTTAGGGGGTGCAGCCTGGTGCCTGCTGGGCACAGTGGTGGTGATGGTGAGGAGTAAAAGTGATGAAGCTGCAGACAGACCCAGTGTCCTGAGGAGGGGTTAGCCCAGCTTTCGGAGAAGGAATTGCTGCCCCTCAGATCTGCTGGAGCTCATCAGCGGAGTCACAAGCACGTACCTGGGGAGTGCAGCTGGAGAGGGACCGCCTGGGTTTCCAGAAGGGATGGGATCAGGTTCCTCCTCAGCACAGCGGTGGATGAACAGCTGGTTACAAGCTGAAACCGGGGGCAGGAGTCCTTGTCACACTACAGGAGGTGACCCCAGGGCTTTATGGGGTCTGTGTTCCTCCTACATAGTGGGGTGACACAGGCTGATGGTGATCATAGAATCATAGAATGGTTTGAGTTGGAAAGGACCTTAAGATCATCCAGTTGAAAGCCCCTGATGCTGAGTTCCTAAAGCAGGGATGGTGAGACAGGCTGCTGTGGGGGTGATGGAGCAGGGAAGCACCAGGGCCGTTTGGCTGGAGATTTGGAGCCGTGAGTAATGTGCCCACCCAGTGTGTGGTTCTGTGCCCCCCTCACAACTCAGCTGCATGGGGCAGGGCGAGGAGGAGGCTCAGAGGTGTTCTGCAGCTCCTATTCCATGGTGGCGAAGTGAGGGATCTCCAGCTCTGCATGGGAAGAGGTGGTGGGAAGAGAGCAGGGAGGGGGGGTACCGAGGTGTGGTTGCTTGGAGAGGGCAGGGATTCAGTGCTCACCCTCTGCCAGTATGAGGAAGTACAGGGCAGGGGAGGGAGGTGGCAGGTTCTGCTTGAGGAACCAGCTCCCGTTGGATGACTGGAGAGCAGCTCCTGTGGGGAACACCTTTCTGCAGGACACGGGGGTGCACGGTTCTGCCTGGGCTCCTCGCTGGCCGCTCTTTGCTGCTGGTGTCAGTTCTCTCCCCAAACTTTTGAGTCAGAGAACATGTGGAAGACTACGACTGAGCAAAGGGAAGGCATAAAGATCAATTATAAAGCTAAGAAACACAAGAAGACCCTGAGAGGGGCACCCCAGCACCCAGGGACTGTCCCAGCAGGGCTGGGGGCTGAACCAAGCCTCCTGCCATGTTGCATTCCCTAGCTTTGAAATGGGAATAAACTTAGGGAAAAAAAGCTGCCCCAGGGCAGGTTTAGATGGAGCTGAGGAACAATTCCTGCCCCAGAGGGTGCTCAGGCATTGGAACAGGCTGCCCAGGGCAGGGCTGCAGGCACCGGCCCTGCGAGGGTTCACACCCCGTGGAGACGAGGCCTCAGTGCCATGGGGCAGTGGTGGCCTTGGGGCAAGATGGTCCTGAAGCTCCTTCCCACCCTGGTTGATGCCGTGGCTCCATGGCAGCAGGATGCAAACCTGTGTCCCTCCCCACGAGCTCTGTGTCTCCTGCAGGTCCCCAACTACCTGCCCTCCATCAGCGCGGCCATCGGAGGCGAGACCCCGCAGCGCTACGTCTGGCGCCTCTGCATCGGCCTGCACTCGGCCCCCCGCTTCCTGGTGGCCATCGCCTACTGGAACCACTACCAGAGCTGCCACTGCTCCCACCCGCGCTACCTGCGCCTCTGCCACTGCAACCTGCTGCTGAACCTGCTCGAGAACTTTGCCCTCCTCATCCTCACCTACGTGTCCTCCTCTGAGAACTATGGTAGGAGTCACCTCCAGCCTCTGAGCAGGGGCTGCCGCGGCTCTGCAGAGCTCTGCTTCACCCAGCGGGGACAGGGCAAGTTCAGCTTAGAGATGAGGAAGAAGTTTTTTACTGTGAGGGTGCTGAGGCACTGGAATGGGTTGCCCAGGGAAGCTGTGAATGCTCCATCCCTGGCAGTGTTCAAGGCCAGGTTGGACAGAGCCTTGGGTGCCATGGTTTAGTGTGGGGTGTTCATGCCAATGGCAGGGGGTTGGAACTGGATGATCTTAAGGTCCTTTCCAACCCTAACTATTCTATAATTCTATAACTCACACAAGTACTTTGGAAGTGGTCAGTTTGGAGGAAAAACGGCTAAGAAGAGAAGAAATTGTATTAAGGTTAGTATTTTTAGAGCAAAGTTGTGTCATAATGTGCCAATAGCCATGCTCTTCCCAAAGTTCTCACCAATTTTTGTGTCAAGCCTAAGCTCAGACTTAAGTGCTTGGCTCCTGCTTGTGCACCAAGGCTGTGCTTAACGTGTCCCACCACAGGTGAGGTTAGTACTGCCCCTGCTCCGCTGTTCAGCTGTGATTCTGGCTCTGAGCTGGCTTCCAGTCCATGCTCTGCATTTTAAATACTGTCTCCCCACCTAAAGTGGGTAAAACTTCCTGTGTTGACCTGAAAACAAAATCAGCATTTTCCAGGTGAAGTCTCTGTGTGAAATATGGTCACCACGGGCTGGGAAATGCTCTTCTCCCACCTGGTCTCATCGGAAGTGAGTTTTAAGTGCTGGTGATGATATCCAGCTGCTGTTTAACCCTGACATCTGGAGGAGGCACCAGGGATTGACTGGAGAGGGCTCAAACCCATGAGCCAGCAAGGTGGTGCTGTTGCAGCAGAAACAGTGCATGTTTGGGGACTTGTGGGCAAGGGAGCTCTGTGCTGGGCTGTCCCTGTGCACCACTTGATGATGTTAATGGATACTGGGTCTGGCTGTGGGACCACACTGCAGGGTGTAGTCATGAAATCTCCCAAAGAGGCCAGGGCAGAGCTCCAAGAAGAGGGTTTGGAGCTCAAGAGGGGACATTGACAGAAGAAGGTTTGCTGCCTCCAGCAGTGGAGGTGGGAATGCACCTGATGCTGTACTGAGAGTAGCACAGAGTGGTTTGGGTTGGAAGGGACCTTAAAGCTCCTCCAGTTCCAACCCCTGCTGTGGGCAGGGACACCTTCCTCTAGAGCAGCTTGCTCCAAGCCCCTTCCAATCCATTTCCCTTGGCTTGTCCCTACAGGCCCTTGTCCAAAGCCCCTCTCCAGCTTTCCTGCAGCTCCTTTAGGCCCTGGAACTGCTCTAAGGTCACACTGGAGCCTTCTCCAGGCTGAACAAAAGCCACATGGAGAGCTGAGCTTAACCTAGTTTTCCCAGATCTGTATTAAAACACCAGTCTCATGTCTGGAGGATAAGTTTCAACTCTTGGCTTATGTGCCAGGATGAGACCGGGCTCGGGTTAGTCATCTCTGCAGGGACTGGCTCACATCTTCACCTCTAACAGTTGCCTTTCCCATTGCTCCTCATGGCGTTTCCCTTCCTCTGGAATCAGGGGAGATGGTTTCTTACATTCAGGTGGTTGGGAATTCAGCCTGAGGTTCAGTTCCTGGAGAACAGGCAGAACATTCTTAAATAGAGCACACATGTGAAAACAGCTCACCTGAAGTGGCATGGGTTTGTGTGGGGCTTTTGGGAGCTCCTGCTGCCTTTCCAGCCTGAGCCTGTGTCTGTGCCATGCAGTGATGCAGAAGGCAGCCCCAAGGCTGATGGGGAGGCTGATGACAGCTCCTAATAGCCCGTGGATAACGAAGGAGGCCAGAAGATGGCCCTTCCTGGGTCTTGGACTTGCTCACTCTGCAAACCCCCCTCCCTGCCTCAGTTCCCCATCCCTAGAGCAGTAGTGCTGATGCTGAGCTGCTTTGGCAGCTGCCTGAGTATACAACAGTGTGAAGCAGTGGAGACCAGGTGCCAGAGCATGAAAACACCCTCCTGGCACCTTTGGGATAAGTGTGATAGCAACACACATCCCACTCCAGCCCCAGGATTCCAGGGGTGCAATTCACAAGCTGCTTTGTCCCTAAATCCCCTTTTCCCTCCTCTGCTGTTCCTACCTTCTGCACAGACCCAGGTCCTGGGCCACAGCATCTCCTGGGTGTTGGAGCTGCCAGCAGGACCATGTCCTGCAGAAGGCAGAGGATCCCTCGCCCTCCCAATGCCTACCCCGTGCCCCCCTTGTGCTGCTCTCAGATTTAACAGGAAAGCTCTTGTCTTGTTGGTGCAGCAATCCATGAAAACGCCTTCATCGTGTTCATCACCTCAGCTCTGGGCCACATGCTGCTGACCTGCATCCTCTGGAGGATGACGAAGAAGCACACAGTAAGTCCCGAGGTACAGACACTTTCCTTCTTCTCTCAGTGCTGGGTGCTGAGGGGGCTTTGGCTGGTGGTGGGGGGTCTGACTGTTGCTTGGTTGTGAAATAGTCATGGAATCATGGAACGGTTTGGGTTGGAAAGGACCCCAAGGTCACCCAGCTCCAACCCCTGCCACAGGCAGGGACCCCTTCCATAGAGCAGCTTGCTCCAAGCCCCTGTGTCCAACCTGGCCTTGAGCACTGCCAGGGATGGGGCAGCCACAGCTTCTCTGGGCACCCTGTGCCAGCGCCTCAGCACCCTCCCAGGGAAGAGCTTCTGCCTAAGAGCTCAGCTCAGTCTCCCCTCGGGCAGATTAAAGCCATTTAAGGTTAAAGGCCCTTGTCCAAGCCCTTCTCCAGGTTTTCTGTAACTCTTTTATGCACTGGAAGACTTAGAACAACTGTGACTGGATGCTGAAGGAGTTGCCACCACCATGTGCAGCTGGGAAGCATGGTCACCAAAACTCAAGGGTTCACCAAAACAAAGTGGGAGGAATCTTTTGATTTCCTATTTTCTGGTTTTCACTTGAAAACCTCTTCATCAGTGTCCCCATGGGCTGCGTTTCCTGACCCTCCTTCCCTGAGGATGCCTGTTTCTGGGCTGAAATCAGCTTCTCTGCACTGGGGAACTGGAACCTGCTGCTCCTGCAAACCAGGAGCAGCGGGAAGCACTGGTTGTGTTACCCCCTTTCCTGCAGGAATCACTGCACTGTACAGGCTGCTGCAGGCCCTGCTCCCTGCAAGGCTCAGGGACTCACTGGTCAGGAGCTTCTTATGCCATTCATGGATGCACCTCTGGTGCTGAGCTGCTTCGCAGTGAGTGCTGGACCCTGCACACCAGCACCGCTGCAGGGCAGGATGTGCAGCTTTGGAACCGTGTGTGTGAAAGCTGCTGCCGCATGTGTCTGCCTCAGCTTTGCCGGGGTCTCTGGGCTCCTTGGACCTCCCTCCCTTATTTCCCCCCCTTGGGGATATGTCTCACCCAGCTCATCCCCAGCCTGACCCTCCCATCCCATGGGGAGTGGTCCCTCCGGCTCCCTGCACTGCATTGCCCCAGGAAGCTGATTGCTTTGCAAAGCACAGACCTCCAGGGGAAGCTTCCAGAGGTGTGTGCCCACACCCCGGAGAGCTGGTGAGGGCTGGGAGCTGCTAAGGGACAGGGGCTGCTGTGCCTGGGATCTGCTCAGGCAGTGACACAGGGTGAGTGCCTCAGCGCGGCTCCCGCTCCATCGCGCTGTTTATTGGCCCCTTCCGGCAATTCACGGAGCCCATCCCCTCGCTGCCTTGTGCCAGGGCTGGAAAAGCAGCTTCCAGCAGTTGTTTGCCTGCGAGATTCCCTATGAAAGGGATTTTGGAGATCCTGGGGTTCCCCTCTTGCTGGGAAGTGATCTCTTGTCTCTGGTGATACGGCGGTAACGGGAGCTCGCTCCTTGGCAGCTTTCCTACAGCTTCCTTTATTTATCCCATCTCTTGGCTTGTGTTCTGGCTTTGGTTTGGGGTGTTTTCTGTACAGAGCTCCCAGCTCTGCATCTCCTGAGCAGGCACTGCACCACTGCTGGCTGTAGCACTGCAGCAATCCCATGAGCTTTGGTGGCAGCAGCAGCACTAATCCTGCTGTCTGTCTCCCAGAAATCATGCTGGTGCTGAGCTGGGCATGGTGGCAGTTGCCTGGGTTGAGCTTGAAGCCTGTGGACGCTGATGGTGATGGGTCTGTGTTGCTGTGTGGAGCAGGGGACTGATGACAGCCCTGACCCACCACAACACTGCAGCTGGAGGGTTGGGGCAGAGAGTGAGCAGCCTCCCTCCACGTGTCTGGCTTTTCTCTCCTGGTAATTCAGAGAGCCATGCACTGGTTTGTGTTGGAAAAGAGCTTAAAGCTCCTCCAGCTCCAACCTCTGCCACGGGCAGGGACCCCTTCCATAGAGCAGCTTGCTCCAAGCCCCTGTGTCCAACCTGGCCTTGAACACTGCCAGGGATGGGGCAGCCACAGCTTCTCTGGGCACCCTGTGCCAGCGCCTCAGCACCCTCCCAGGGAGGAGCTTCTGCCTAAGAGCTCAGCTCAGTCTCCCCTGTTTCAGTTTGAACCCATTCCCCTTGTCCTATGCCTGCATCCCTTGTAGGGATGGATTCAGGTGGGTTCCTCCCAGGTTCATGCCAGGAGCAAAGTCCCGCTGGTGGTGGTGTGACCCGGGGAGCTCTGCCACCATCTGGCAGCACTTCTGCCTGCAGGATGCCCTCTGCCACGTCACCCACTGTGCCTGATTCATTACTGCTCCCAAGGAGAAGGGGGAAGCAGGCAGGAGGTGCTGGCAGGGCTGCCCAGAGCCCATCCTGTGTTTCTTTGGGACCAAGGCTGGTCCATGGATCTGCTGTGTAGTGGTGGCCCTGTTGGGGCTCTGTGTGTGCAGCCTGCACCCACAAAGCCTATGGGCTCGGTGTCACTGGGTGCTGTCACCAGGGCTCTCTGCACCCGCTGGCACTGAGCAGCCTGTGCATCTCCTGCTCCTGTGCTGGTGGGTGGCTTGTGTTGACCTTGGGTTACCAAACCACAGCACCTCCAGCCCTGCGCTGCAGTGAGCACAGTGGCAGCTTGTCCTTGTTAATCCTGCAGGGCTTGAGCTCTGCTGGGGCATCCCCATGTCCTGGTGCATGGGCCCAAGCCCAGCAAAGGAGCATTTCCTCCTTCTGAGGATGCATTGACCATGGCACATCCCTGGGTGGAAGGGCAGGACGGCACAGTGATGTCCTGGGAGCACGTCACCACCCTGCATGGGGCCACCACTGAGCATGGCTTTCTCTTTTCTTCTTGGGTGCTGAGGCGCTGGCACAGGGTGCCCAGAGAAGCTGTGGCTGCCCCATCCCTGGCAGTGCTCAAGGCCAGGTTGGACACAGGGGCTTGGAGCAAGCTGCTCTATGGAAGGGGTCCCTGCCCGTGGCAGGGCTTGGAGCTGGAGGAGCTTTAAGCTCCCTTCATCCCAAACCAGGCTGGGATTCTTGGACAGCCCCTGCTGATGGAGGGGAGGTGCCTGCAGGGCTGCGTGGTCCCCACGAGCTGGGTGCCTCCCTGCAGAGAGCTGTGACCCGTTTGGGGCCAGCCCTGCCCCAGCTCCCCACAGGGCTGTGTCAGCAGATGGAGCTGTCACCCAGGGCACCACACTGAGTTCCTCCAAGCACAGCTGGTGGTGGCCTGGCTGTGGTCAGGCCCACAGATTGGATGTGTGGGCATGAAGCAGACCAAGGGCTTGACACATCAGTGGGCCCCCAGCCGCAGGTGGCATCCTCTGATAAGCGGGTGCTCGTCCTTATCACCGCTCTGCAGATGTGCCTCACCCCTGCAGCGCTGTCCCGTGGTGGGTGAGCTGGGCTGCTGCCGTGAATCATTCTCACGGGACCGCGGCTCAGAGGGAGAAGAGGAGGAGCCTGCCCAGAGAAGCTGTGGCTGCCCCATCCCTGGCAGTGCTCAAGGCCAGGTTGGACACAGGGGCTTGGAGCAAGCTGCTCTATGGAAGGGGTCCCTGCCCGTGGCAGGGGTTGGAGCTGGAGGAGCTTTAAGGTCCCTTCATCCCAAACCGTTCCAGGATTCTAAGGTCTCCGGGGTCTTATCCCGCTGTTGGGGTTTCTCAGGCTGCTCACTCACTTCCCAGGGCTCTGTGAGGCCACCACTGGGCTCAGGTTGGCAGAGGGGGGGTGCTGAGGCCATCACAGGCCCGGTGCCACCATCAGCACCACCACATCCTCCTCACCCTGAGCCGGGCGGCCGGTGGGAAGTGCTGGTGGGCAGTGCCGGCCTCGGCAGGAGCAGGGAGAAGTTGGGCAGCTCGTGCTGAGCTGCCAGGCTGGGGGCTCGTGGTGCTGCTCGAGGACAGGGTCTGGCAGGTCAGGGCGGCTCAAGGGCAGATTTGGGCTCTGTTTGTGTCGGTTCTGAGCTTCGCTCCCCCAGCCCTGGAGCCGGCCCTGGCAGCAGGGGATGGGTGAGGAGCATGACCCTGTCCTGTGCTGTCCCGTCCTTCCCTCCTCCTCAGCAGAGGGTACCGGGAGACGGAGCCACTCAGGGTGCCCAGAGGGGTTCGGGTTCTCCAGGACCAACCCTGGGACCATCTCCAGGACCAAGTCCGTGCAGGAGCCCCCGTCCTTCCTCCTGCTCCAGCCGAGCAGGGCTCAGGCTCTGGTCCCAGCCCCTCAGTGCAGTTTCCAGCAGTGCTGCTGGAGGGTGCGGGACAGGAATCGGTCTTGCAAAAGCCTCGGTGCTGGGGCTGGTGTCGCAAGTGCCTCTGTGCGAGGGCAGGAGGGTGCTGAGGAACCGGGCCGAGATGGGGAAGTGCAGGCGGGTTCCAGCTGCAGGGTGGCAAATGGTGAGAGAAGGGAAGATGAAGCTGTGCAGGAGGGGAGGCGGGAGGAAGGCTCCGAGGAGGAGGGGAAGGAAGGGGAGAGCTGGGGGAGAAGGGGAACTGGAGGCAGAGAGAGGGCAGCTCTGGGCTGGAGGCAGCAGCCGGGGCCTCGGTGCCTGCCAGGGCTGGTGTGGGGTTGTCCTCTCTGGGGCCATGGGCTGCTCCCCCCTCACACCCCTCCTGCCCCAGCTGCCTCCTGAGGGCACGGAGGGCGCAGCGGAGCAGAGCGGTTTCACTTCTGGTTTGCAGCCGTGTTTGCCCCTGGCCCAGCCCCGCTGTCCTGTGGGGCTGAGGGACGCGTGTGCATGGGCCGGCTGCTGCAGCCCCCAGTGCAGCCGGGTCCCGCTGGGCTTGTCCTGCAGCAGGCACAGAGGCAGCGGTGCCGCTTGGTGTGAGCCCAGCCCCCTGCTCGCTGCGCTGCTGCTCCTGCCCCTCGGTGCTGGTTAAGGCAGTTCTGGGGTCCCCTTGTGCTGCTTGTCCCCTGGAAGGGAAGGTCCAGGAACAGAGCCAGCACTTGGGAGCGGCCCGGAGAGCATGGCTGATGCGTTTGGGATTAGTATAGAATGGATTGTGTACAACCCGGTGCAGTGCTCTTATGACCCAGTGCAGTGCAGCGCTCTATGACCTGGTCCAGTGCGGTGCTCTATTGCTCTATGACCCGGTGAAGTGCAGTGCAGTGCTCTATCGCTCTGTGACCCGGTGCAGTGCAGTGCTCTATCGCTCTGTGACCCTGTGCAGTGCTCTATCGCTCTATGACCCGGTGCAGTGCAGTGCTCTATCACTCTATGACCCGGTGCAGTGCAGTGCTCTATCGCTCTATGACCCTGTGCAGTGCAGTACTCTATCGCTCTGTGACCCTGTGCAGTGCAGTGCTCTATTGCTCCATGACCCGGTGCAGTGCAGTGCTCTATCGCTCTATGACCCCGTGCAGTGCTCCATCGCTCTATGAAACGGTGCAGTGCAGTGCAGTGCTCTATCGCTCTATGACCCGGTGCAGTGCAGTGCTCTATCGCTCTATGACCCAGTGCAGTGCAGTGCTCTATCACTCTATGACCCGGTGCAGTGCAGTGCAGTGCTCTATCACTCTATGGCCCGGTGCAGTGCAGTGCTCTATCACTCTATGACCTGGTGCAGTGCAGTGCTCTATCACTCTATGACCTGGTGCAGTGCAGTGCAGTGCTCTATCACTCTATGACCCAGTGCAGTGCAGTGCTCTATCACTCTATGACCCGGTGCAGTGCAGTGCTCTATCACTCTATGACCTGGTGCAGTGCAGTGCTCTATCACTCTATGACCTGGTGCAGTGCAGTGCAGTGCTCTATCACTCTATGGCCCGGTGCAGTGCAGTGCTCTATCACTCTATGACCCGGTGCAGTGCAGTGCTCTATCACTCTATGACCTGGTGCAGTGCAGTGCAGTGCTCTATCACTCTATGACCCAGTGCAGTGCAGTGCTCTATCACTCTATGACCTGGTGCAGTGCAGTACTCTATTGCTCTGTGACCCGGTGCAGTGCAGTGCAGTACTCTATTGCTCTGTGACCCGGTGCAGTGCAGTGCAGTACTCTATTGCTCTGTGACCCGGTGCAGTGCAGTGCTCTATCGCTCTGTGACCCCATGCAGTGCTGAGTCGCGGTGCAGCGGAGCTGCTGCTCCCTTTGCTGCTGGCAGGAGCCGCTCTCCAGGCGCCGCTGTTTCCGCAGCCGCCACGCGCGGGCTCTTTGTGACCCGCTTCCGCTCTCAAGCTCGCAGTCCCCCAGCCCCCACCCGGGCCCGGCAGCGCCCAGCGAGCATCAGCGCTTCCAGGTGCTGGGGTTGGCAGTGCTGCGGGGGCAGGGGAACGGCCGGGTTTGGGGTGCAGGGACCTTGGAGCACATCTGGCCCCAACCCCTGCCCCGGGCAGGGACCCCTTCCATAGAGCAGCTTGCTCCAAGCCCCTGTGTCCAACCTGGCCTTGAGCACTGCCAGGGATGGGGCAGCCACAGCTTCTCTGGGCACCCTGTGCCAGCGCCTCAGCACCCTCCCAGGGAAGAGCTTCTGCCTCAGAGCTCAGCTCAGTCTCCCCTCGGGCAGGTTCAAGCCATTCCCCTTGGCCTGTCCCTACATCCCTTGTCCCAAGCCCCTCTCCAGCTTTCCTGCAGCCCCTTCAGGCACTGGAGCTGCTCTCAGGTCTCCCCTTCAGGAGTCTTCTCTTCTCCAGGCTGCCCCAGCCCAGCTCTCTCAGCCTGGCTCCAGAGCAGAGCTGCTCCAGCCCTCGCAGCAGCTCCGTGGCCTCCTCTGGCCTCACTCCAACAGCTCCACATCCCTCTTGTGTTGGTGCCCCAGGGCTGGATCAGGGCTGCAGGGGGTTAGAAAGGGATGCCCCAGGAGCTGTCAGAGGTCATCAGCCGGAGCAGGAAGGGACCTGCCCTGCCCATGTCCCAGCTGGTGAAGGTGCCTGGGACTGCCCTGCCCCTCTGGGTTTTCCTCCTGCGTGGCCCGGTTCCTCTCTCAGGCTGGTCTGAGCTTTCTGGGGCAATGGAAAGTGTGATGGGGCGAGGTGAATTTTCCTCCTGCTCACCAGCCCCTGCAGACAGATGGGGCTGTCTCGTGTGGAAACATCAGCGAGGGGGAAATCCCCCTCCCACCCAGGAGCAGGAATAACAGCCCCTGTCTGGGCTGTCCCGGGCATCCCAGCCCCGATATGGCCCTGAGCCCTTGTTTCCAGCCCCCCCTGCCCCAGCGCTTGGTGTCCCTGCACTGGGGTCTCCCCTGCATCCTCCTCCATGTCCGGAAGCGTTTGGGTCTCCTCTGCCCCTGGGGCTCCCTGCTCACCCCAGGGCTTTGGGTTTCATTATCCATGGTGGGTGATGGAAGAGTGGGAGGGGACTGAACCCACAGCCCCCAGCTTTGGGGGTGCTGGGCCGCGTGTGGACGGGGCAGTGGGTTTGGGGACCCACCATGCAGGCAGGGGCCAGTCTCTGCCAGCCCAGCCCTGCTGTGTGATGGGGGGCTCTGGAGCAGCCCCGTGCCCTGCACCCCTCGCTGTGCTGCGGGAGGTGGTGCCGGGGCAGGATGGGGCCCCGGTGCCAGGGCGCCCGCCTCGTGCAGCGCCCGCCCCAGCTGCAGCTCTTGATGTGGTTTCCTGCTCCCTGGGGCCGGTGAATTCCCACAGAGCCCCGTGGAGGAGCCACCTGCAGCGCAGACCCTGTGGTGGAGCCCTGGGCACCAGCACGGAGAGCAGCATCCACAGGGAGCTGGGCAGGCTGAGAGCTGGGACCATGGGAATCTCATGGAGCCCAAGCAGGCCAAGGGCAAGGCCCTGCCCTGGTCGGGGCAACCCCAGCACAAAGCCAGGCTGGGGACGATGGGATGGAGCCTGAGGAGGACTTGGGGTGCTGGGTGAGGAGAAGCTCCTCATGACTCGGCTCCAGTGTGCACTTGAGCCCAGACCCCCCCGTGTGCTGGGTGCACCCCCAGAGCGTGAGCAGCAGCTCAGGGAGGGGATCCTGCCCCTCTGCTGTGTGAAGGGGAGACCTGAGAGCAGCTCCAGTGCCTAAAGGGGCTGCAGGGAAGCTGGAGAGGGGCTTGGGACAAGGGATGTAGGGACAGGCCAAGGGGAATGGCTTTAACCTGCCCGAGGGGAGACTGAGCTGAGCTCTTAGGCAGAAGCTCTTCCCTGGGAGGGTGCTGAGGCGCTGGCACAGGGTGCCCAGAGAAGCTGTGGCTGCCCCATCCCTGGCAGTGCTCAAGGCCAGGTTGGACACAGGGGCTTGGAGCAAGCTGCTCTATGGAAGGGGTCCCTGCCCGGGGCAGGGGTTGGAGCTGGAGGAGCTTTGAGGTCCCTTCGACCCAAATCTCTCTGTGATTCCATGTTTCTATGCTGTGGAGCTCCTGATGCCTTCCCGTGCCCTGCTGGGGCCAGGACAGAGCTTTTCTGGAGGCAGGGGTGGCTTCTCCACTATCCGCTGAGGCACCTGTGGCCTCGGTGTATGTTCGCATGCTGGGGCAGACGCTGGGACCCGGCCAGGGACCTGACCCATCTCTTTGTCCCCTGCCAGGAGCGCAAGTCCTACAAGTGGAAGCAACTTCTCTTCTTCTTCACCTTCATCACGTTTGCATTTGCTGTGTGTGTCTACTTCCACCACAACTGGTACTGCGGCCCCGGAGGTGAGGGCACGGGGACGGGGCTGGGGTGGTGCCCACAGGAGAGCAGCCCTGGGTACCCCCTGCCCGTGGGGCAGCTCTGCCCGCAGGCTGCCCTCCCTCACGTGCTGTGCTTCCTCCCCAGTGTACACCATCTTCGCCTTCCTGGAGTACCTGGTTGTGCTCTCCAACATGGCCTTCCACATGACTGCCTTCTGGGACTTCGGCAACAAGGAGCTGGTGGTGAGCTCGCTGCTGGAGGACAAGCACTTCTAGCAGGCTGGGGGGGCAGAGCCCCTTCCTTCTGTTGTCCCCAGGCTGGGGCCAGGATGTTTGCTGTGGAGCTGCCACAAGGATTGTTCCGGGGTCCTGGGCCCCACAAGTGTCTGCACATGGTCCCTGGCTGCGCCTGGGGCAGAGCTGGGGACTCTTGCTGGGGACCCCCGAGGTGATACCCCCTGTCCTGGCTCCCTGCTGGCTACTGGGATGGGCAGGAGGATGGAGGTGGGAACCTGCTCCCTGCTTCTTTGGAGGGTGCCGTGGGCAGAGCGGGATTCTGCTCCCAGGGACACGGGGACCAGCCTGGCCCTGCCTTGGCTGCGTGGCCTCGGTTCCTCCTCCAGCCTTGGGCAAGCTCCTCAAAAGGAGCTGGTGACTTTTCGGACCTCGAAGCTTAAGGCAGCCTCGGGAGAAGGACTTGGTGCCCCTGCACCTCCGGCTGCAGCCTCCGAATGGGGCAGTGCACAGCCTTGACCTGTTGGGAAGCTGTTGTGCAGGGCTGGGACAGAGCTGGCCCCATGCTGGGGCTGGGCCCGGGCCCAGCTTCTTCCCAAGCCTGGGGTGAGCACAGGATCCATGCTGGGCACTGCTCTCCATCCCCATGCTGGTGGTGCTGGGAGGAGGGTGCTGGCCCATGCACAGACTGCACAGGGGCAGAGCAGGAGAGCACCAGTGTGGGACATGGGGCACAGGAGACCCCGAGAGCTCCCACACTGCCCCTGCCTGTGCCAGAAGCCCCCTCCAGCGAGCAGGGTGCTGGGCTCCGGTGCAAGCACAGGAGCGTGGGCTGGTGCTGGAGGGGCTCTGTGAGCTCCCACTGCTTCCCCTGTCCTCTAGGGCTTGAGATGGGACGTGCTGGGCTTCAGTGGTGCTGCTGCTGCCCGGGAGGAGGGTGCTGGTGGGCCCTGGGTGCTGTGGGGGCCGGCACAGGGACGGTGCCACTGTCTGGGTGGGTGCTGCCAGTGTCCCCCTGCTCCTCTGCTGCTCCTGGAGCTGCACTGCTGGAAGCCGGCGCGGCAGCGCTGGAGCTGCTGCTCTGGCTCCCAGGGGCTGTGGCATAGGGGGAATCCGCCACATCCTGCACCGGGAGGCTCCGGGGAGCTGGTGCTGTGCTGGAGAGGTGGCACAGGGCTGGCTCCTGCAGGGATGCAGGCAGGGGCCCAGGGCTGAGCCTGCCCGCAGCAGGAGCTTGGGGAGCTTGGGGAGCCCGGTGTGTGCAGAGCTCAGCCCACCCGTGCTGCATCGTGAAGGTCCCTGGAGCGCCCTTCATGAGCCACCACCAGCGCTCCCTTGGGATGTCCCAGTGCTCATCCCTGAGCTCCTGGGGCTTGGCCAGAGCCTCCTCCAGCAGGAAAGAGCTGCGGTGCCCTGTGGTGCTGTGCCTGGTGCCCTGTGGTGCTGTGCCTGGTGCCCTGTGGTGCTGTGCTTGGTGCCTATGGCTGCGGTGCCCTGTGGTGCTGTGCTTGGTGCCCTGTGGTGTAGTGCTTGGTGCCCAGGGCTGCTCTGGCACGTGTCTTGCTGTGTGGGTCCCACCATGTGGGTCAGGTCCATGCACCCCTGGTGCGTGCCTGGGGGTGCTGCCCGCACTGGGGCTGCCGCTGAAATAAAGCACTGAGGAGTTTGAGAGCTCTGCCAGACCTTGTGTGGTGCCCACAGCCCGACCAGGACCCCGGGCTGGGTGCAGGATGTGGACCACGAGGGATGGGGCTGGGTGCAGGAGGTGGACCAGGAGGGATGGGGCTGGGTGCAGGATGTGGACCAGGAGGGATGGGGCTGGGTGCAGGAGGTGGACCAGGAGGGATGGGGCTGGGTGCAGGAGGTGGACCAGGAGGGATGGGGCTGGGTGCAGGATGTGGACCACGAGGGATGGGGCTGGGTGCAGGATGTGGACCACGAGGGATGGGGCTGGGTGCAGGATGTGGACCACGAGGGATGGGGCTGGGTGCAGGAGGTGGACCACGAGGGATGGAGCTGGGTGCAGGATGTGGACCACGAGGGATGGAGCTGGGTGCAGGATGTGGACCACGAGGGATGGAGCTGGGTGCAGGATGTGGACCACGAGGGATGGGGCTGGGTGCAGGGGGTGGATCAGTGGATGTGGGATGTGGACCCTGGGGGCTGGGGTGTGGGACATGAACCCACCGGAGTATTGGGATGCAGGACGTGGATGCTGGGGCTGGGGTGCAGGATGAAGGGTGCAGATCGCGGGTGCTGGGGTGCAGGATGTGTCCCTGGGCGCTGGGTGAGGCCGGGGCTGGAGCCGGGCGGTGGCGGCGCTGGAGGGGCCGAGTCCATCCCCAGCAGCGGCTCCGCTCGCACTCGGCTGCTGCGGGGCCGGGGCCAGGGGAGCAGAGCCCGGGGCAGGAGCAATGGGGTGGGCGCAGCCGGGTGCGGGGCACGGTGCTGGGTGCTCGGGAGCTGCCAGGGCCTCGGGGTCCCTCTGCCCCCCCGCTGGAGGCTCCTGTGGGGCCCTGACCTCACTGCGGCTGGGAGAGGAGCAGCCGTGAGCTCATCCCGCAGCAGCGCAGCCAAGGCAGGGCTGGTCCCGCTGCCCCTCGCGGCACCCCCCCGCGGAACCCCCCGGGTGGCTCCGCAGCCCTGCTGCTGCCCGGGGATGGGGTCTGGCACGGGGGCGTCCCTGGGGGCATCCCTGGGCATGGGGGCATCCCTGGGGACATCCCTGGGGACATCCCTGGGGACATCCGTGGGCATGGGGACATCCCTGGGGACATCCCTGGGCAAGGGGATGTCCCCGCTGTGGCACTCCCGGCACCCCGAGGGTCCTGTACTGCCCCTGCAGCCCCCGGCTGTGGGACTCGCAGCTCTTCCTATGGGAGCTGATGGTGTGACCCTGCCCCTTGGGTGCTGGTGCCCCCACCTGCAGCCGCGGGACCCTCATAGCACAGGCCAGATGAACATGGATGAAGGTCGGATCCTGCTGCTGCGGTGGGAGCGGGATCCCAAGGAAGGAGCCGGGTTCAGTGCAGCCGGGACCCAGGAGCCCACCAGGGAGGAGCTGGAGTCACACCGGGTCATGGGCTCCTAGGTGGGGGTCCAGGGGGGGCCGTGCTTTGCACTGGGCCCTGTGGGGCTGCAGAAAGACAGGGCTGTGGGATCGGGATGGGGATGGGACATGGGGACGGGATGGGGATGGGACATGGACATGAGGATGGGACATGGGGACGGGGTGGGGATGGGATGGGGATGGGACATGGGGATGGGGTGGGGATGGGACATGGGGATGGGATGGGGATGGGACATGGGCATGAGGATGGGACATGGGGACGGGGTGGGGATGGGGTGGGGATGGGACATGGGGATGGGGTGGGGATGGGATGGGGATGGGACATGGGGATGGGGTGGGGATGGGGTGGGGATGGGACATGGGGACGGGGTGGGGATGGGACATGGACATGAGGATGGGACATGGGGACGGGGTGGGGATGGGGTGGGGATGGGACATGGGGATGGGGTGGGGATGGGATGGGGATGGGACATGGGGATGGGGTGGGGATGGGGTGGGGATGGGACATGGGGACGGGATGGGGATGGGACATGGGGATGGGGTGGGGATGGGGTGGGGATGGGACATGGGGACGGGGTGGGGATGGGACATGGACATGAGGATGGGACATGGGGACGGGGTGGGGATGGGGTGGGGATGGGACATGGGGATGGGGTGGGGATGGGGTGGGGATGGGACATGGGGACGGGGTGGGGATGGGACATGGACATGAGGATGGGACATGGGGACGGGGTGGGGATGGGATGGGGACGGGACATGGGGATGGGGTGGGGATGGGACATGGGGATGGGGTGGGGATGGGACATGGGGATGGGGTGGGGATGGGATGGGGATGGGACATGGGGATGGGGTGGGGATGGGACATGGGGATGGGGTGGGGATGGGATGGGGATGGGACATGGGGATGGGGTGGGGATGGGACATGGGGATGGGGTGGGGATGGGATGGGGATGGGACATGGGGATGGGGTGGGGATGGGATGGGGATGGGACATGGGGATGGGGTGGGGATGGGGTGGGGATGGGATGGGGATGGGACATGGCCGGAGTCTCCCGGCCCCGCAGCCGCAGCACCCACGCAGCCCCACAGGGAACAAAGACCCAGCTTGTGGCGGGCACCGGGCTTGGCCCCTGCTGCAGGAAGGCCCCGGGGCCGGACAAGGGGCCCGTGTGTGGCAGTGGGGACCCTGCCAGGACCCTGCCGGGGCCGGACACTGCCAGCACGTGCCAGCGCCACGGGGCTGGAGGGGACGGGAGCGCGGCTGAACGGCTGCTGCCATAGAGCTGCTGCCATAGAGCTGTCACCATAGAGCTGTCACCATAGAGCTGTCACCATAGAGCTGCTGCCATAGAGCTGTCACCATAGAGCTGTCACCATAGAGCTGTCACCATAGAGCTGCTGCCATAGAGCTGTCACCATAGAGCTGTCACCATAGAGCTGTCACCATAGAGCTGCTGCCATAGAGCTGTCACCATAGAGCTGTCACCATAGAGCTGCTGCCATAGAGCTGTCACCATAGAGCTGTCACCATAGAGCTGTCACCATAGAGCTGCTGCCATAGAGCTGTCACCATAGAGCTGTCACCATAGAGCTGCTGCCATAGAGCTGTCACCATAGACCTGTCACCATAGAGCTGCTGCCATAGAGCTGCTGCCATAGAGCTGTCACCATAGAGCTGTCGCCATAGAGCTGTCACCATAGAGCTGCTGCCATAGAGCTGTCACCATAGAGCTGTCGCCATAGAGCTGTCACCATAGAGCTGCTGCCATAGAGCTGCTGCCATAGAGCTGTCACCATAGAGCTGCTGCCATAGAGCTGTCACCATAGAGCTGTCACCATAGAGCTGTCACCATAGAGCTGCTGCCATAGAGCTTCACCATAGAGCTGTCGCCATAGAGCTGTCACCATAGAGCTGCTGCCATAGAGCTGTCACCATAGAGCTGTCGCCATAGAGCTGCTGCCATAGAGCTGTCACCATAGAGCTGTCACCATAGAGCTGTCGCCATAGAGCTGTCACCATAGAGCTGTCACCATAGAGCTGTGACCATAGAGCTGTCGCCATAGAGCTGTCACCATAGAGCTGTCACCATAGAGCTGCTGCCACAGAGCTGTCACCATAGAGCTGCTGCCATAGAGCTGTCACCATAGAGCTGTCGCCATAGAGCTGCTGCCATAGAGCTGCTGCCATAGAGCTGTCACCATAGAGCTGTCGCCATAGAGCTGTCACCATAGAGCTGCTGCCATAGAGCTGTCACCATAGAGCTGTCACCATAGAGCTGTCACCATAGAGCTGCTGCCATAGAGCTGCTGCCATAGAGCTGTCACCATAGAGCTGTCACCATAGAGCTGTCACCATAGAGCTGTCGCCATAGAGCTGTCACCATAGAGCTGTCACCATAGAGCTGCTGCCATAGAGCTGCTGCCATAGAGCTGTCACCATAGAGCTGTCACCATAGAGCTGTCACCATAGAGCTGCTGCCATAGAGCTGTCACCATAGAGCTGTCACCATAGAGCTGTCACCATAGAGCTGCTGCCATAGAGCTGCTGCCATAGAGCTGTCACCATAGAGCTGCTGCCATAGAGCTGTCACCATAGAGCTGTCGCCATAGAGCTGCTGCCATAGAGCTGTGACCATAGAGCTGTCGCCATAGAGCTGTCACCATAGAGCTGTCACCATAGAGCTGCTGCCACAGAGCTGTCACCATAGAGCTGCTGCCATAGAGCTGTCACCATAGAGCTGTCACCATAGAGCTGCTGCCATAGAGCTGTCACCATAGAGCTGTCACCATAGAGCTGCTGCCATAGAGCTGCTGCCATAGAGCTGCTGCCATAGAGCTGTCACCATAGAGCTGCTGCCATAGAGCTGTCACCATAGAGCTGTCACCATAGAGCTGTCACCATAGAGCTGCTGCC